GGTTATAAAAAAATATTCTAAGCAGTATTGTGCTGGTCAGGAATCTGGTGCTATTTTGTAGTTTTCAGTAATAAGTTGGGAAAAAATATATCAGAAAAATATTACACAAAAGAGGCAAGAGTTCATGAGAAGCTTACTAGGAATGAAGGAAAACTCAGCGACCTTAAAGAAATATGGAAAACACTAGAAGGATTTGAGAAGTCCAGGAAACTTCCAGTTTCCGTGCAGAAGCCCTGGGAAGGGAAATGGATTCATGAAGCTGCTGATGGTAACTACTGGTTCATGTAGTTACCGTCGGTATTAGATTGTGTTGATCAAGGCCAACTAAAGCATTAACTAACTGTTTGGTTATTTTACAGAATGCCAAGCAGTAGTTCAAGGTAGAAAAACACGGGACCTGTAAGTAAAGATGGAAAGTGAAAGTAAATATTTAGCAAGTTGAACCCGGAGGGTAGAAAGTTGGGCCCTCCAGCTCTGCTGCATGTGAACTCCCGACACCAGCCACTCTGAAGATGTTTCTCCTTCAAGGAAGGACTTGCTTAGGTTGGGATTCCTCCCTCATAGACCTACAGGGCTTTATGGCCTTGCCTGCCTGAGGTACTTGACAACGACTTGCTGAGGAAAGGAATGGATGAGTTAACGCCAGGGAAGAATGGAGAGCCTTTCTGGTTTTTCGGGTCCCAGTTGGGACTTTCCTTCTGGAGTGGGTAGAGGGATGTGCATGACAAGGGCGCTCTACTGAGCACATGTTGAAATGACTCAGTGTAACAGGGATTCACTCTGCTCGAATTTTCCCACCTGAAGAAGCCAGTCCCCCGCATGTCCCCATTCCTCTTCCCCTTGGTCATCTCAGCAGGAAATTACTATCCCGCCTCTCACATGGGTGATGAAGAGCAGAGGCATTTTGGCAGCCAGCGGCAGGGCCCAGAGTGGGGCTGAAGGAAAGTAAATACCGCTCCTTATTAGGAGATCCTGGCCTCCACTCGTGCGTCTCCCCGTCCCCACACAGCTTCCTGTTCTGTCATAGAAAGTGGCCCTCTCAGCCACCGCCTCCCTGTGCCGGCTTCCTGACTTCCAGGAACCACTGGGTCAGGCCTCGTTTCCTTCCTTCTCTTTACACTGATTGTTTCGAGGGGATTTCACCACCGTGCACTGATGCTCACTGCGTCCCTGTGTGTGGCCACAAGAGGAACGCCGGGGCACTGTGACGTGTGATAATGGCACAGAGGGCTCCTCCAGGGACATTCCACACATTCATTTTCTAACTAGTCATAAGTCAGAGAGTGACATCAGGAGCAGGCAGCCGTCCTGATGTGCAGGCAAGAGCAATGGTTGATAGGATTCTCATTTCCTAGAACAGCTGAGTTCTTTACCTGGCAATGGATATGCCGGTGTCAACAGGGGCACAAAGAGATTCAGGTGTTTGTTTACTGGCTCCCTAGATTTTATATTACATTTTGATTTTTATTTAATGATTATTAAGTGCTCAAGAAGCAAATAAGGTATCAGTCAGATTCACGATCTTTTGGGCAGACCATGTGCCTTGGGATTTCCCTTCTGCTCCCTCTACCAGCTGTGAGCGGCATGAAGCAGAGACAGCACCTTTATGTTGGGGCTCCCTGAAGCCCGGAGCGCAGGGCCTTCTGCACACTGGCTGAATGAAGGGACTCACTAGGTGAGCCACTGTGGGATTCTGAATCTCACGCGGTGAGTCAGAACAGACTGTGAGTCAGGCTAACTTTCGCTTGGAGGATGTCCCCATGTCCTTCTCTCTTTGGGCACCCTTATCTTTCCTACTGGTCCAAGCCCTCTGGGCCTGTTCTGCTAGATTGTCCTCCTACTCCTGAGCAAAGGCCTGCACCAACTGAAGCCCAGGAGTGGCAAGCCATCACCATGGCCACTCGAGGGCATGAAAAGCAGGATCTTGTCAATGAATCATGGCATTTGCAGGTGAACGGATGAAACTAGAGAACATCATGCCAACTGAAACAAGCCAATCCCTAAAATCAAAAGTTGGATGTTTTCTCTGATAAGTGAATGATAAACCCATAGTGAGGTGGGGGGATAAGGAAGAATGAAGGAAGTTGGGTTTGTATAGAGAGGAGTGAGGGGAAGGGAGGGGTGAGGCTGTGGGGATGGGAGGGACGGTAGAAAGAGACAGACACTATTGGAGTGACTCTGCACCATGTACAGCCAGAGGAATGAGAAGTTGTGCTACATTTGTATACAATGTGTCAAAATGCATTCTACTGTCATGTATAACTAATTAGAATAAAAAAATTAATTCACTAAACCCAAACAACAAAACAAACAAAAAAGCAGGCTTTTCTCAATATCCATTTTTTTTTTTTTTGAGATGGGGCCTCACTGTGTTGCCCAAGCTGGCCTTGAACCCCTTCAGAGACTCCCCTGCTTCAATCCTGGGTAGATGGGACTGCATGCGGAAGCCCCTGCACCAGGCCCGTTTTTGTTAATAAAGATCTACTTATTTACAATAAAATTCACCCTTTTTAGGTGTGTCGGCCTGTCAAGTTTGGTCAAATGCACAGTCATAGAACTACCGCCACCACAATTAAAATCAGGGAATTTTCATCATCCCCAAATGCTCATTCATAAGCCTTTGTAATTAATCCCCTCTCCACAATACCCCAATCCTAGCAATCGCTGACCTGACTGTACACCTCAAATGTCATCCAGTCCTGACTTTATTCAAAGCTCTCTCCCTTCAGTGACCCTCTTGCAAACTTAGGTGCCTGGCTCTGGTGCCCTTGAACTTTCTGGGGATGTCTTTTCGTCCTTCCCACTCCCTGCAAACTTCCTGCTACTCAGCCAGCTGCTCAAGGGTCGGTGTGTTCTGGGGCTCCTTTCTTTAGCCTGTCCTTCTTGCACACCCACTAGCCTTGCTCCTTCCATTACCTAAGGACACTGTCCTCTGTGTTTCTAAAACTCACAAGGTCGGGCTGGGGTGTAGGTCAGTGGTAAAGTGCTTGCCTCACTTGCACAAGGCCCTGAGTTTGGTTCCTTGCACCATAAACACACAAAAACCCACAAGGTCACCTTCCTATTCCTTTCTTCAGAGTATGGTGTCTGTATTTCTAATGGAGCCACATATTTTACATCTCCTCTTAACCCTTCAAACTCTCTGCTCACGCTGGACTCATCCCTGGCCCTGTCAGACTGCCTTCTTCCTGGATCCTGCACATGCCCGATGGTACTGCCATACAGAGCCACCAAAATGGAAAGGTCGCTTTCCCCTGTCCCCACTACAGACAGCTGCCTTTAAAACACGCCTCAGCCTCGCCTCCACTCTGCACATCTACCTCTGCACTGCAGTACCGACCCTCACTGCCTTGGTCCCCAGCTGACTTAACTTGCCTCCCTGGGTCTTGATCTTTCTCTAAACTTTCTCCCCATCGCTGCCAGTGCACTCTTCCAAAATTACAAACCAGACTACGTTCTTCTTCTAATTAAGAAAACCCCACCCTCTGAGGGCTTCCCAGTGTGCACAGAATGGAGGTCAAGTCCCCTGAGGTGGGTGTTTGTGATCCTTAACAACTGGGTCCCATGCTGCCAGCCCGCCCCACTTCTCAGCCTCCCTGTCACCTCCTGCCCCATCAAAGCCAGGGCCTTGCACCATCTCAGGCAGGGACACTGTGTACCTCTGTGCCTTTGAGTTGAAACCCACGGCTTCTCCAGCTCTGAGGTTGAGCCCTTTATGGACATTGGCCATCTCCTCTCTCTTCCCCTCCTCTGGGTAGAGCCTTGGCTTCCCCAGACTTTGAGGGCATCTAGACACCAGAACAGCACGCTCTAGATGTCTCTGTGCTGGTCAAACCTCTGCTGCTCATACCCACCCCTCTCAGAATCCCTGTGCCTCTTGTGTGGGAAGAATTCTGCATTTTTTGACCATCCACTGATTTCTTGCAAAACAGAGCCCCATGGTTGATTGCAAAAAGCCTGTTAGGATGTTTTCTGTCTGGGCTCAGGTCAGTCTATAACAATGATGACGGTGACAATGATGAGTTAGAATGGTTTTTTGTTTCCCGCCTCATCTAGGAGCATTGCATGTGAGACAACATCAAATGTAGGCCACTGAGGGAACCAAGGGAGGGCCCACCTTGGTGGATTCTAAGTGCTGTGATAAACGGTTATATCTCTGCTCATCTCCTGTCTTCTCCCCACCGATAGCCTGAAGTAACATACTGATCACACTAGAGCAATGCAGATTACTATGTCAAAAACGAAAACTTGGGTGACCCGTTAATGTTCTTAGACAGAGCTGCTCAGGTGATGTGCCCAGGAGGGAGGCCGAGGGTGAGGCTCTGGTCTCCCAGCTTTTGGACCATCTGGGTTGACCTTGTTCGAGTCCAGCATGAGCAGCCTCTCCATTTCTGCTTCATTATTTTGATGCAAAAGGTTGAGAAGCACTGTCCTAGGCCATTCCACTGGTCACACAGCAGACAGAATTCTCCCATGTCTGCTCTTCTCTGTCCCAAGAGAATCAGTTCTGATTTTTTTCCCCAGGGTATTGAGGATTGAACGTTCAGCCGGTTTACCACTGAGCCACATTCCCAGCTTTTTAATTTTTTTCTTTTTAATTGTGAGATAGGATTATGCTAAGTTGCTGAGGCTAACCTTGATCTTGTGATCCTCCTGTCTCAGCCTCCCAAGTTGTTGGGATTACAGGTGTGTGCCACTGGCCTGGTTCCAGTTTTATGGTTCTATGGACCATGAACACCTGCTCTGAGAAAACAAAAGCCCAAACTACAATAGCAGAGGAGGGTTTTTGTTTGTTTTTGTGGTGCTAAGGGTTGAACTGGGCAAGTGCTCTACCACTGAACTACACTCCCATCCCTCTTTTGTTTTTTGTTTTGGTAGAGAAGTCGCAAATACTCTCCATCACTCCCTAACACACGATTTCTAGAGAGCTGGCCAAGCACAGGGACTTTAGGCATCTCAGCAACACTGATCCATCGGGGTTTGTGCAGCCTGTGACTCACCGTTCCCACCAAAGGGTAAATAAACCCAGCACCTATGCTGGCCCGGACGTCGCTGATAGGTAGAATGAAATCCCTCGGCACGCCTTTCTTTTCAGGTTGGTGAGACAGAGAAAGGTGGGTCTTGGCCATGCAGATGGGCAAATTCCCAAAACCCTGTAAGAAAGGAAAGGAAACATGTTCATTTGTACAAATGTTGGTCTCCTGGTCCTTGCTGAATTTGCCTTCTCTACAGTCTCTGTAGCAATAGTGGCTCCGACCGCAGCGCACCAGGAGCTGCTGTTCATGGAGCAAGAGGCTGAAGGTGAGAGCTCATCCCGGGCGGCCAGTATTTGGCAGGTTGGGGGGTCTACTGTTTATTTTGGACATTTTCTTGAAGAGAAGGTAGCACTAGGCTCCTGTGTGTGGGGGAAAGCCAAGCTATTTTAGGCACAGCAGGGGCAGCAGCAGCTGCAGAAAGCACTTTCCAAGGCTATTAATATCCAGGACCCAGAAAGGTAATCTGGAGAGGGGCTCCCTAATGCGGCTCTCAGTCCCATCCTTCACTCAGTCTCAGTCTGTCAGGAAGCAAAGGACCCTTTGTGCTGGTTTATGACTCATGGCCATTTGATCTGCGATTACATTATAGGAACCAAGATGAGGTCACTTTTTTTAAGGCTCTTATTTTTAAGGACCAAAGCCCAGGCCTGACCCAAGTTCCAAAGGTGAAAGGGCAGGAAGTCACGTGTGGTGTCTCACAAAAAGGACAGTGTCTCCGAAGCCTGCTTGTGATTAAATGGCACACAGTGTTCCTTCGAGACTTTGCTAATTAATTGCAACCACATACTTGACACGTAACTTTTAAGGAATATTCCCTTGGTAGACAGAGATAAAAGGAAGTGCAATCCTCAGAGGTAACCCGCATAGGAGTTCTTATGATTTGGCCCCAAACTATTTGGAACATTTCAGAGTATTATCAGTTGCAGCGGGTGGGGCACTCTCTCTTTGAAAGCCCTATTCATATTCTACAAAGAATTTTGCTGAGGAAATATCACAACCGCTCTTCAGATATGGTGCCCATAATTTTGGACCTTGAAGATCAAACATTGAAATAATGTCTATGAACTGATAAAGATTCGCCCATTTAAAGATTTGCCAGTGCAAATATTTTTTTAAAAATGTCATACCATTACCATATTAGTTCCTTAAAAAAAAAAAAGATTAGACTCAATATTAGAATAAATGATAGTCCTAAGTAACATTATTAAAAACTCATGGGGATAAAACGCTCAAAGTTCATGACAATGACCTTATTTTACTAAGTTCATTGCATACAAATGGAAATTTCGTCACAGAACAACACCATGTGCAGAGCAGTGTTTGGGAATCATTTTTTAGAAGTTAAGAGCACACATGGAAACTTCCAAAAGAAACGAGTTGCTGACATCCTACCAAACCTGGGAGAATACCATGGTCAGCACGGGCGGTATTTAACAAAATAACAAATATGGTTTACAAATAGTTCAGGAATTAAAAAAAAAAAGATTTATGTCATTTTTTTTTTTTTTTTGAATCAGGTATTGAACCCAGATGTGCTTAACTACTGAGCCACATCCCCAGCTCTTTTTTATACTTTATTTAGAGACATGTTCTCACTGAGCAGCTTAGTGCCTTGGTTTTGCTGAGGCTGGCTTTGAACTTGCTATCCTCCTGTTTCAGCCTCCCATGCTGCTGGGATTAGAGGCGTGTGCTATGCTCCCAGCTCGATGTCACTCTTAATGAAGCTCTTTGGCCAGTAAGCTCGTAAAGCACTCTAACTTCCATCTTGTCATTGCCAACCTGGATGGGGCCATTCGAGGCACATGGTCCTTTTGGTCATGATGGCGGAACATCCTGCAGTGCAGCGGACTGCTCTTGCCTATCCACAGAGGATGAGACAGTGGCTCGTGCTCTGGACTACGGCCACCTTTACAGTCACTTGCAAATTTACTTTTGTCATTTTCCAGAGGCAGATGATGATGGAGCTTTGAAATTGGTGAGCAATCCCAGCAACAGGCCAACGAACTACTCACATGGAAGGGAATCCCGAATGTTCCCATTTTCACACACTGCTCTCCTATTGGCTTCACCGCGCAGCATGCTCATGTGAAGAAGAATCACTAGAACCGTCTACGTCAGACTCCACAGCTACTCAACAGAGCACTGGTTGGATGTTTCTGCAGAGTAGGTGGACTATAGGCCGTGTATCGCATACAAAGGTGACACCACTCATGACAGACACATTTAGAGTCTCAAGTCAATGATGCACATGTCAGAGGACATTTGCCCTCAGATGAGGTAGTCAGTGCTCTACCCCTTGACGGCACTTCAACCTTGGCTGATTCGTTCAACTGGCGAGGCTGACACCTCCAGTCTTCAAGCCAAGGGAGTATTTCAAGAACCCCAGGTGTATTTCTTTTTTCCCCTACAAGTACAACTCTTACCTGTTGAGTGTAACGATCTATTTTGGATTGTGCCTCAGGAGAGAGTTCGATATCCTTGGCTCCATACACGGCCTGGGCAATGGTTCTTATCTTTTGCACGATTGGAAGCTGGAGAGACACAGAGACAACAAAGTTGAGGCCTTCTCTTTCCTTTTATTGGCACTGGGGAGGGAACCCAGGGGTGCTCCACTACTGAGGTGCATCCCAGCACTTGCAATCTTTGGTTTTGAGATAGGATCTCTCTAAGCGGCTAAGGCTGGCCTTGAACGTGTGATCCTCTTGCTTCAGTTTCCTGAGCTGCTGGGATCACAGGAACGTGCCATAGCGCCTGGCTAAAGTTGTTAACTTTAATCTGGTTGAAGAAGGAAGAGAAAGTGTGGTGAGATTTTAGATATTTGCTTAAAATTCCCGAGAGTCCCTCCTCAGCAACAGTGGCATTCAGCACAGACTCTCTTTTCACTTCAATCACTCTTATTTATTTATTTCTCCTTCAATTACTCTTAAACCACTGAATGTCCAGGGCAGAAGTCAACTGGCAAAAAAGAAGCCTGAGATGTTCAGCCAATTTTGTGCGCTTATCTAGTTGACCATTTTCTTCCACTGGAGAGTTTTGAAAATGTAGTTTATACTCTGCTTTTTAATGGTCTTATATATCAGAATAGGAGTCCCTTAATTCAATAGTTAGTGCACATTTTAAAGAGGTTCTGGCCAGGCATAGAGGCACACACCTGTAATTCCAACAATGTGGGAGGTACAAGTTGAAGGCCAGCCTCAGCAACTTTGTAAGACCCTTTCTCAAAAAATTAAAAGGGTTTAGGATATGGCTCAGTGATAGAGCAGCTTTGGTTCAATCCCCAGTGCCAAGAAAACCCCATAACAAAACAAAATACTGGTTTATAGAAGAAGAGTTTCTCTCTCTCTCTCTCTCTCTCTGTGTGTGTGTGTGTGAGAGAGAGTGTGTGTGTGTGAGAGAGAGAGAGAGAGAGAGAGAGAGGGGAAGAGCAGGAAAAGACGATTTTAATATAGATGTTGATGTGATTGAACATTTGATTGGAAAATCAGAGATGAATCTATTATCACATGAGCAAATTATGAGAAATCCTGCAGCATGATAAGAATATGCAAAAAGACCAGATGCTGGTAAATAGAGTGTGCTCGGGGAGATGGTGTCCACAGTGAGAGATGGAAGACCTAGGTGCAGATTGCTGGTGAGACACCAAAATTGGTCTTACAGAACAAGATTGGTTCATTAAGAAGGGAATATGCTGCAGACAAGGTGATTCTTAAAGAAAAGTATTTGACAAAATTGTTCATAATTTTACTGTGGATAGAAAATACAGCAGCATGATGCAGTTAGTGGCTTCCTTGTTTGGTGAATGATTCTTGAGCTGAGCACTGGGGGATGATTGGTGTCACCCACGCAGCAGAAGCCTGTGGCATGCCTTGGGGACTTTCCTTGGCAAGGGCCAATGGTACATTTGTATGAATAACTTTGAAACAGGGCACAGAGTTATCCAACAAGATAAAACTTAGGAAGCTGCCTCACTGGGCCATGGCCTGTCCACTCTGGGAGAATTCAGCATAAGCTGAACTAGTGCCAGGAATGTGGTACAAAGAACCACTGTGTGAGCATAAAGTTGAGGCTGGGCTAAAGGTCAACCTCAAGGGCAATGTCTTTCTTCCTTATTTTTTTTTTTGGTACTGGGGACTGAACCGAGGGATACTTTACCACTGAGCTACATTCCCCAGCCATTTTGTACTTTTTATTTCTTATCTTGAATCAGGGGCTCACCAAGTTGCCCATGCTGGCTTTGAACTTGTGACCACCTGCCTCAACTTCCAGAGGAGCTTACAGTTGCAAGTGCTACCATGCCTGACCTCCAGAGCAACTTCTAATGTAGAAGGGTCAATGTTCATATTAGCTCAGTGCTGTTAGACATCATCTCTTGTTTACCTAAAGAAGGGATATAGCACAGCCCTGGAGCACCTAGGAAGGCCTCAATATGTATTTGGACAAATAAATGATGATTCCCAAATTTCCTGTTTAATTAGCATGGGTTCCACTTGGGCCCTGCCTAAATTTGGCTAACTCACAGAACCTCTCTGAATTCATTTCTTCATCCTTAAGATACGAATGTGAGCCAGGCACGGTGGTGGCACATACTGATAATTCCAGCTCCTTGGGAGGCTGAGGAAGGAGGACTGCGTGTTTGAGACCAGCAATTTACTGAAAAACTGTATCAAAATAAAATAAAAAGGGCTGGGGACAGCTCAGTGCTGGTGCTCTTGCCTAGCAAGTGCCAGGCTCTGTGTACAAACCCCAGTGGTAGAAAAAAATTAAAAATATAAAGATGAAATATTGTACATCACTTTACTGCATACACTGAAGCAAGGGAGAGAAAGCACACGGCAAATGCGCTGTACAGGCTTTCAGTAATATTATTATTCAGTGAGGCAGTGGGGTGGAGAGAAAGAAAGGTTTCCTCTGAAGTTCAGAAATAGATACTGCTATTCATAACACACTTCATGAAAAGAATTCATTTTTTACTGTGCTATGATTATGATTTGATAATAAGGAGTGTGATTTTTCTATGAATAATTAAGGAAAAATTCACAACTGGATGCCTCGTGAAGGATTTAGTGAGTGGGTACTTGTTTTACTCTTATTTTTAAACATGAAAACATCCTAAGAAATGTTTCTATTTTAAAATATTTTAATTTTAATAACACACACACAACGTATAATTTACTACCTTAAGCACTCTGAGTGCGCAGTTCAGGGGTGCTGAGTACATTCACAGCTTGATACAAGCCACCCCAGAACTCTCTTCATCTAGCAAAACTGAAACTCCACCCATTGAACAGCCACTCTGAACCCCACCCCGGGCCCTGGCAACCACCATTCTGCTGTCTGCCTCTGGGAATCTGGCAGCTCTAGGTCCCTCCTACAAGTGGAATCACACGGGTCCCCCTGTATCTGGCTTGCCTCTGAGCACAGTGCCCTGCAGGAGCACCCGGGGCACCGTGTCAGAACTGCACTCCTTGAGGGTGACTGTGCTCCGGTGCATGCACTTGGCTTGTCCATCTGTGAATGATGCTGCCGAGAGCATGGGTTGACGAATATCCCTTTGAGCCCCAGCTTCCAACCCTTTCAAGGAAATGTGCATCTTTGGTCAACACCAAAGTTACTTCCTTTCTCCTGTTTACTAGAAAGCGTTTTGAGGAGGTTCCAGGCGGAGTTTATGGAGTTGTGGTTTTAGTCTCTTTAGGAGAATTGCAACCACCCACACACAGCAGAGGATCCAAACAAGATGGTACTGGGACGACAGGAAGAGTCCAGTGTGGAAGCGAACCCTGTGTCTCTCGCTCGCTCTCGCTGCCCTGCCGAGCTCTGTGGCCAGCAGGCACTGGTGTCTAGCCCTGGCAGTGGCACTTCTGCTACCTAAACCTCAGCTTCACCATCCCTGGAGAAGAGGAAGGTGGTTCCTGGGGGCTTTAACATGTCCAGGACCATCCCCTGAGACCCTGAGAGAATGTGCCATCTGCACCCCGAGCTTGGATCATGAGACCCTGTGTTGAATACATAAAGGGCTTCAGCTCACAAAGGAGGAAGCCTACGTCCAAGGCTTCCCAGGGATTCCCATGATGGTGCTTCTTTTTCACTCATATGTATAAGTAAATAAATAAAAATATCAGTTAACTTATCTTTGGGGTTTAGTGTAAAAAAGAAAAACTGCCCTGATAAGGTACTTCCACTGGATGTCATCTATTTATATTGAATCAGTAGGAGAGGACTTCCCATTGACTCTCTGCTTGATTTTGGAGAGAAGCATAATTTTTTTTTGGGGAAAAAAAAAGCCGAACTCAGTCCAATGATCTAAATTCCCTTGAAGAGCTCTGTGGCAAAGGATACCTTGTATAGAACAAATTATGTGGTAAAAGAGATTATGCGTTCTTATGCATTCATCATTGCTGGCCCCCCCCCCCCCGGGCTCTGTGAACATTGACTAATCTATTTACTCACATCTTTCATCCTGATTATGCCTGGTGTCTGGCACAGTGGCCTGCACACAGTAGGCCTCCCACGAGTGTGCGCTGAACGAACGAATAACCCTAACCCTTCCAGGCAAGCACCGTCACGCTGTCGGAGCTTCGGGGACTTTGTGTATGAAGAACTTGGGAGGGAGCGGGCACGTGATGAACCAGTGTGACAGATCGGAGGGCAGGACTGAGGTCCTGCATAAACACCACTCCTGCTGCCGGAGGCCCCAGACTGCAGGGGAACCACGGAAAGCAGCAAAGGCTGGCAAGGCATCAAAGGAACGGGAAAGGCCTCGAGGGAAGGACGGGAAAGGTCTCCACAAGCAAAAAAGGGAAGAGAAAGGCACGGGCCCAGGTGCAAGTGGAGCAAACAAAAGCCTATTCCGAAAACAGTAGCCGTCCTATTACCTACTACACAGCTGAAAACTATGGTCAACAACAGAGACCTGTGTCTAGAGTTCCTCTAACTAAAACTATGTTAAACTTCATATTCATCAAGAATATCACTCTAAACAGTGTACATCAATTCCTTCCCAAATCTCCAAAACGTTTGTTTCATGAAACCGAAATACTTAGAACAGAGCTGTCCGATGGGATGTTCTGCCATAATGGAAATGTCCTATGGCCCAGTAGCCACTCACCTTTTGTGGCTTTTAAAGCAATTGAAACAACACCAGGGCAATGCAACTAAGAAACTGAATTCTTAATTTTATTCAGTTTAAATAGCCACATGTGGTCTTAGTGCAGCTCTGGAAAATAGTCTCTTGCACACAGTAGGCACTTCATAAACATTAGCTGAGCGACACCTGAAGGTTAAGCTGGAGAATAGGATGGTCTTTGTTTTATTATACTCATGGTATATGGTGATCCAGGCTCACAGAAGCTGAGTTACTGAAAAAAAGTATATTCTGCTTTCTGAAATCATGGCTTTGCCAGTAAATGATGGAGCTGGAGAATATCATGTTAAGTGAAATAAGCCAGTCCCCCAAAACCAAAGGCTGAATGTCTTCTCTGATTTGCAGATGTCTAATTCACAATAAGTGGGAGCTGCTAGGGAAGAATAGAGG